TGCTATACGAAGTTATTAGCTGCTTCAACACGCTTTGCTGATATCTGGCGGAGTATTTTATCCACACGACATCCATCAAGTGCGGGCCGTCACGTCATTTTCGGTGACATGCCCAATCAGACTTCGAGATATGAACTGTACAGGTAGATTCAAAAAGTGTTTGAAAAAGTTGTGTGGTCACACATATGGCACGCACCTGTACGGTACCGATTTCGTCTTCTAGTCATAGAGGGACGAAAAGTATCGCCTCTGCTGTGCAAGAGTGGTTTCATAAGCATGCCTTTGACGGGAACAAGTACTGAGCGAATAAAAAATGTAATAGTGAAGAAAGGGTGATAAAATCTTCTGCAGAAGAAAAAACTAGGAATATCGACGAGAAACTCGTTGAATTTGAAGAGAGATTGAGAGAGCTGCTTCTATTGGAATATGAATTCATTTACGATTCCATACTTAGGCCCTATTTAGGTCTGATAGGCTCTAAAAGGGTATCAAGCAAGCACACACTGAATCTGCTTAGTGTTACTCATCATGCGGTCATTATTGTTCCGTTGGATTGTAAGTTTTTCAAAACAATTTAAAGTTTTCCTGGAACTTGGACATACTTAAGAATTTACAGTAAAAATTTTGTTATCTCCTCCTTTACTCCCTTTCAACAAAAATATTCTGATTCAGTGAAAGAGGCTCGCCCTCAAAACATTGAAATTAGAATAATTTGATCATGCAGAAAATAAGATACCGTCGAAAAGGGTTTTCATCGAAGACCCTTGAGCGCTAGTGTAAGTGTCAGAAATGATGGAGCCTTCCACAAAGATACTCAAGCATCAGCGCGACATCGATCAATGATAAACTTAAAGCGACGAACCTATAATGTTTCTGCGCTTTGAAGAGATGTTCCATGGCACCGGTAAGATTAGCATGGATTGCTTGAAGGTCAGCAAGACACTGCTTTCGTTGAGCACGATGAACGCCAGCCCTTGTCATAACGTAAGGAACCACTTCTTTCCGGATTCGCTCTCCAATAACCTTAGGAATGGCGATGGTCACAAACGTAATTCAACGCTTGAGATTCAGGTTATAAAATTGTGATGCCTGATAGTTCCTTAATAGGCAGCAGCATAAAAGAGCATTAATTTCGAACACCCTTTGGTCCCAAAAGCCGTTCTTGCCTCTACATACTAAAAAACATTTGAACTCATAGAACGGAAAATGTTTTACATAGTAGCAAGCCCTTGAAATCCGCCCCACTGCCGACCCGAGCCAATCAGGCATTTCAACTACTTCCGCGTTGTCAAACTGTGATCATGAGGTGCCAAGAATATGGCTTAGACCAACATTTTGAAACAAATCACTATGATCCACTCAGACTCAAATCAAGCACTACGCTGAACGAATTTAAATACTTCAGACCAAACTTCTGTAATTTCGGGATTTCTAGTCAAAATTAAACCTGACCTCGAGAAAATGCAGTGACACGCAACTGACGTCACACTGCACATCTCCACTGCTACTTATAAGCATAATAACACATAAGTTCGATTCGGCTTAATGTCTTTACCCAGAGAGCTCCAAGGGGACGACAATAAAACAACCTTCGCGTTGATCGTTAGCAACTGCGCGCATCCCGTTAAATTTCACTACTTATTAGGTTACAGTTCACCGACTATTTAATGACAAGGTAAGCGCCTTGAAGCGCCTATTTGAAATTATCGACATATACACCATAAAAATCCTGGGGCACCCAAAAGCATTTGTAGCAACATTGTTTTCGGAGATCACTCCAATTAAGAGATCATTTGCGGCGCTAAAGCCTACATGCGCTAGGCAACTCGGTAGAGTTAAGAATGCTGACTACAAATATGGAGACCAAAATTGCTGCGTCCTACCAAGCAAGTTGAGCTTAGACTTAGGCTTAGTGGCTCTGTGCCTTCTGCGCCGTAGTAAACATAATAATAGAATAAAAATAATGTTGACAGACAGGCAACATTTAAGAATGTTTCGAAGCGCTCTCAGGCCTTGAACACGACGTAGGTCGAAACGCCAAGCTAAGTAAATATTCCTCCACACATACCCTCCCGGAATATTACCTAATTATTTCGGTTCAAACACTGAAGCTTAAAATTCAATTACGCTTCCCCCTGAAATATTGCGTTGTTTTAATTCTTCCCGTAGCTCACCTCATGTTGCCCAGCAAGTAGTTCCAGCTCTCGTAACAGATTTGCAAATGACCTGACGTACGTGAAATTTTTCGCTGCCTCTTCATCTTCTTTTTTCCTACCAAGAGATCTTTTGGCCAGTGCTCTAGAATAGAATTACTCATTCAAAACGCACAAATAAACTTTTTAAAAAATTCTATACTTGCCTTAACTTAGCGGCATATTCCTCTTCAATTATAGCCCGCTCCTTCGCGAAAGTACCTATTTTTTCCAGGAACTCCACACCTCTCTGTGTATGTCCAGCGACCGCCTCTGTCTGGTCCTGGAAATGATCTGTGCAATGTTTCACGTGTAAAGCCGCTAATACTCAAATCTGGTGAGCGGCACCACAATATGATTAGCTCCAAAGGAGGCTGAAATTGCAACTAGAAGTTCCACGTTGAAAATGTGGAGGTCTTTGGCGTTGAAGCAAACGGTAGAAATTGCTAGACTTGGGTCTAGAAGAAGTCCTATTGTGGGAAGGGGCCAAAAAATACACTCTATATTCACATCCAGATTGAATCAACCCTACATCGCTAAACTTTTATTTCCAACCAGGACGAACCGTTGATTGTTACTTTTGGTATCGAATTTGGTCCAGGAAAGGAGAAAGCGTGAGTGCAAGAATCAAGGGCGGAACGCGCGGCAGCTTCAGAAGTTTGGGAGGGAGAGTATCGCAGTGGAGACCCGAAATTTGTGAAAAAACTTCGTTGTGTCTCTCCATGGGATTCGTAAAGTCGAGCAATCTCAGCCACAAGGACATTAACGAGAATGTTGACAAAGTAGAGTTTCTATGCACCTATAGCAAAGTGTGGGCCACGGAAGCAGAGATGCAGACGCTGTATTCTTGAAGTTGCCCTGGGGCGGCTACTAGAACATCAATGGGGTCGTGGTGAGGCAAGGGGAAGGAGTCGTACTAAAAGGGATGAAGACCTTTTTGGTACAGAAAACTGTTTACGAAACATGACGACCAACGAAGATCTGTAATCTGTAAAATATGCCGTTTCAGGACCAATACAAAGGGGATGGGGAGAGGCAAAAAAGTAACATTGCTCATGGCGTACATCACCAAACTTTTCGCCGCATAAGGTATTAAAATGCCGCTGCTGATGGCACTTTCACAGAACATATTCCTGGGATGCACATCCCCCAAATGTCATCGCCCCCCCCCCCCCAAGATCAAGGAGGCCTACCTTGGCTGCTCCAGCCTGAAATTGCTACATGATTTCTTGGATCGACTCACTGATGTACATCTCTAGAGACATTAGCTCAGACTACGCAAGACTCCTTTTGACAGGCGTTTCAAATAAGGTCGTAATGGTCCACGTCTTCATAGACGACCTTTATGGAATTTTCTAATGAATAGAGTGCTCTTCAATTTCAGTTTGGATTGTTCGGTTTGAGTGTAGCAAACGGTAGTTAATTCTGTTTCAATGTAGAGGGTGACTTTTCTTGGCCCCCTGCATATCCTACCAGCCCCTCCCTCCCCTCTTTCCACCTGCTCGACGCTAATTCTGTAACAGCTTCAAGCGGATATGGATATGTCAAGTGGTAGTACTTCTTAAAGACGCTATCGACACCATCGACTGCCGAAGAGAGAGAAAGTCCAAAGATTCATGTGGAAAAGAGCCTCCAGGTGGGAATAGATGATTCCAAAATTTCTCACCGCGTGACAGTCCACCTTGTTCCTTCAGCAACAGCTACAAAAACTGAAGAAAGTTTCAATTTCTTTCTCATATTTCTCATACTCTTTCTTTTTATGATATTTTTGTAATCATAGGAGTCAGTGTAAGCTTTCCCATATCACCTTACATACAAAAAAAAGCTTGAATTATAAAAAACATTACGAACCCATAGTTCGGCCCAGCCAGCGTTTTGCGATGCACACCCATTCATCGCCATGGTTCACATTCACCTCAGAATTTCCTGCAAGTATTCAATAATTTCTTAGAATTCACTCGGTCCTTCGTCAGGAAAAATGCGACAAATTAAACATGACTCTCGAAGATTCAAAATAAACGGCTGTTGCTTCAGATTATGCAGATCATCACCATTCATGATATTTCGAAGTAACGTCAGTCCGGTATCAGATAAACCATAAAAAATACAAACACTGCCCGCACTGCCCGACGTACTCACCAAAAAAAAACTTCGGCAGAGCAAACTGATAGTATGTGCGCACCTTTGAGCGGCGTTGCTGATGAGATTTAGAGTTAAAGGCAACTCCGGCCCGGGAAAAAATGTAGGTGTAAGCGTCCAATAATGATTTAGTGTGGAACAACCTTCTGGGGGAGGCAATGAAGTGAGTGAGCCACTTACGAGCTTGGGACGAAGCCTTAGAAAGAGGAGAGATTTTAAGGGAGAAGGTTATCAACATTAACTTTCCGTGGCGTTTCCCAAACTTGGTCCCAGTTAAGCCGAAAACTGCTTCAGCCTCTCCAACAGTATCAAACGGGTTCGGACCACACTCCACTTCACTCTGAATACCACTTCACTCTACTTACTCTGTTTCAATTGATTTATGCATTTGCTTTACGCACTATAATTAATGAATTAGTGGTGCAACTAATAAATGAAAAGCAACAATATTAGTGACTATGGTTACAATGGAAATCTTAATAAGGAACGCTACATCACACTGCAAAGTGTGCTCCTGCCACTACTAGCGCTGTCCATGATAGCATGCGGTACTGCTTCTGGTTATCAAACATTCAAAGGTCCAGAAGAAAGTTTAAATAAAAGGACAATAGAGCAAACGACAAATTTCCCACTGAACTCTTTAGCGGTCCGACAGAACTCGCGATGGTGTCGAGCGATGGGCGGTCGGCCATTACTGTTACAATCGCCGAGTCTAACGGACACTTAGTGTCTACTCAAGTCAACTCCTAGCTCGTAGTGAGCTATCAACTATTCAAAACTGATGCACGACAGAGATGGTCAAACACCCGTTCACATGTCTTCCCATGTCTGACTACCTTTTTCCGAGTCCTATCCCAGGTTGACCACCGTTTCCCATTCCTGATGTAAGAGAAGCCAAACAGGTCCTAGGCTGCTTTTATATTTCGCACTAACGCGGAATATTCATTTTGTCATGGTGGAATCGTCGCGACTTGTCTTTCATCGCTTAGATGGCCTTTTTTCCTGACGTTTATCCGCCCCACTCTTTATTCTAGAGAAGATTTTGAGCGAAAAAGGGAAGAAAAATAATGAAGTTGACGACGAACGAAAAATAGAAAACGAAAAATGTGACACAGGGCAATGCAGCACTGAGGCGATTGCACTACAGCAGAGTGCGTGGAATAGAATGGATCAAAGCTTGTGGAGCAAAATAAAGTCTTAAAACTTACTAAAAAACAACAACACTGAAATGATAGAAGGTATCAGAAGAAATGCACGCATGAAGTGAAACGACAACAACAATAGTCCTGGTACAAATGTTTCAAATCTGAAGCACGACACATTTCCAGATTTGAACAGCCAAAATAATATCAAACGGGAGTAAACCCTAAATTTGAGCTTGGATTGTAGAAAAATGTCACATAATCGAGGAGGAATGAGGAAAGATAAAACAGAGTCGGTAAACTAATGCAAAAGAATCCCTCTTTTGTCCCCGGAGACACTGCAGCTTCAACTACAGAACCACTAGCAAGAATTTAATTCAAAAAGCACTGCAATACTGATTATGTGAGTTATTACCCCATCTTTTGCAGGAGTCTGCACTTGTTTTCAAACCTGCTCACGAGAACCCCTGGATATTCGTTGTTTCTGTGCACTAGTTTTCTTATCATGAGGGTGTCTCGACTTTCAGCAAACTGCGATCCACTGTTATGTCACATCACATTCGTAGAATTTCGCATTTGCTTTTTTCTATTTTATCAGTAACCAATAATCTGTCCATCTGTTTTATCAGTGCTCAAATATGCGATATAAATAGAGACCTTCTTAGCGCAATTCTTGAGAATACAGAAAAAAAAGAATTGAAGGGATTTTAGACTTCCCGGAAGGAGGATAGCTCACAACCCTATTCCAGCTGCGCATTCTCTTGTGGAACCGAGAATCATTATTCCTATCATTCGATGGGCACTTCCAGACTCGGTAAATCTACATTAATTTGCCGCAGGAACACTACCCCCTCTTTCGCGGTGGACCTGCGGTTCTCACAGCGGAAAAGTTGCGCGCCGCGGGAAGCGAAAAAATCGCTTTCTCTCATGGCGAACCACACTGAGGAGTGGGGTCCATTATTCCTTTACCATCATCTACTGCCCCAAAAACTAAACATCCCAGGCGTGCGAACTATGGAGGATAGAGGCCACTTATTTAACCCTTTGACGACCGCCGTTATGAATGCGTCACTTCACTTCTTTCTAAATTTTTTCATCAATAATCATTAACTCTCCAACAATTTCACTATTAGTAATTAGCGCATTATTCCGCGAATTCGATGATGTATTTGTGTAGTTTTGAAACATAAAAAATGCCAAAATAAACCCCTAAAAACGTGTCGCCACCGAGCGAAAGTGTGGCCCACCGGCGGGCCACACGGTCGTCAAAGGGTTAAAGGAAAGTTTGATTTACCCCTTTAGATAGATATCTACGTGGTACATATTACTTATTTGCGTCCTCTCATCGAGTAAGAACAGCATTAATGCGAAACAAGGAGTCCGTGAACCGGTGGGG